GGTTCCAGACCAACAAGATTGACGTTATGGAGTGGCCAGCCCAATCCCCGGATCTTAATCCAATAGAAAACTTGTGGGGTGACATCAAAAATGCAGTTTCTGAGGCAAAACCAAGAAATAGAGAAGAACTGTGGAATGTAGTTCAATCACCCTGGGCTGGAATACCTGTTCACAGGGGCCAGAAGTTGGTTGACTCCATGCAACACAGATGTACAGCAGTTCTCAGAAACAGTTCTTATACAACCAAATATTCATTAAGTGATTCAAAGGAAAGCAAAATCTTCAAACATTTTTCAGTTTATATAGTGAATGTTTGAGTTTGTAAAGAAGAATACAAACACTGCTATTTTTTTGAAGAGTCTAATATTCACTTTTCTTCAATTTTTTAGAGGAACAACACAAATTTGATATATTTTTCTTCATGTTTTGATTTGGAATAGAATGTGTAGTGTTCCCAATGCATTTGTGTGTATGGAAATAAAAGCTATTAGAAGGATTTTGAGCTTTATTCACTTTTTTCAACACACTGCTATTATTTTGAACACAACTGTATATATACGGCCAAAATTTTTGAGACGCCTGCCTTGACATGCACATGAACGTTAAAGGCATCCCAGTCTTACTCCGTAGTGTTCAATATTGAGTAGGCCCACCCTTTGCAGCTATTACAGCTTCAACTCTTCTAAGAAGGCAACTCAGCCACGAAAAATGACAAAGTAGGGTCAGCACATGCTGAAGCGCCAATGCGCAGAAGTCGACAACTGTCTGCAGAGTCAATAGCTAATGACCTCCAAACTTCATGTGGCCTTCAGATTAGAACAACAGTGTGTAGAGAGTTTCATGGAATGGGTTTCCATGGTTGAGCAGCTGCATCCAAGCTTTACATCACCAAGTGTAATGCAAAGCGTTGAACACTGTCACTGGACTCTAGAGCAGTGGAGACCTGTTCTCTGGAGTGACAAATCACACTTCTCTGTCTGGTAATCTGATGGACCTGTCTGGCTTTGGTGGTTGTCAGGAGAACAGTACTTGCCTGACTGCATTGTGCCAAGTGTAAAGTTTGCTGGAGGGGGGATTATGGTATGGGGCTGGTTTTGAGGGGTTGGGATGGCCCCTTAGTTCCAATGAAGGGAACTCTTAAGGCGTCAGCATACCAAGACATTTTGGACAATTTCATGCTCCCAACTTAGTAGGAACAGTTTGAAGATGGCCCCTTCCTGTTCCAAAATGACTGCACACCAGTGCACAAAGCAAGGTCCATAAAGACATGGATGAGGGAGTTTGGGGTGGAGGAACCCATAGAACACCTTTATGATGAATTAGAGTGGAGACTGTGAGCCAGGCCTTCTCGTCCAACATCAGTGCCTGACCTCACAAATGCGCTTCTGGAAGAATGGTAAAACATTCCCATAGACACCCTCCTAAACCTTGTGGACGGCCTTCTCAAAAGGGTTAAAGCTGCAAAGGGTGGGCCAACTCAATATTGAAATCTACGGACTAAGACTGGGTTGCCATTAAAGTTCATGTGTGTGTTAAGGCAGGTGTCCCAATACTTTTGGCAATATAGTGTACATACAGTGTATATATATATATATATATATATATATATATATATTGATAAACATACAGTATCTCACAGAAGTGAATCCACCCCTCACATTTTTGTAAATATTTTTTTCTATCTTTTCATGTGACAACACTAAAGAAATGATACTTTGCTACAATGTAAAGTAGTGAGTGTGCAGCTTGTATAACAGTGTAAATTTGCTGTCCCCTCAAAATAACTCAACACACAGCCATTAATGTCTAAACCGCTGGCAACAAAAGTGAGTACACCTCTAAGTGAAAATGTCCAAATTAGCCATTTTCCCTCCCCAGTGTCATGTGACTCATTAGTGTTACAAGGTCTCAGGTGTGAATGGGGAGCAGGTGTGGTAAATTTGGTGTTATCGCTCTCACTCTCTCATTCTGGTCAGTGGAAGTTCAACATGGCACCTCATGGCAAAGAACTCTCCGAGGATCTGAAAAAAAGAATTGTTACTCTACATAAAGATGGCCTAGGCTATAAGAAGATTGCCAAGACCCTGAAACTGAGCTGCAGCACGGTGGCCAAGACCCAACAGCAGTTAAACAGGACAGGTTACACTCAGAACAGGCCTCGCCATGGTCGTCCAAAGAAGTTGAGTGCACGTGCTCAGCATCATATCCAGAGGTTGTCTTTGGGAAATAGAAGTATGAGTGCTGCCAGCATTGATGCAGAGGTTGAAGGGGTGGAGGGTCAGCCTGTCAGTTCTCAGACTATAAGCCACACAATGCATCAAATTGGTCGTCTCACACTGCATTCTGTCGTCTCAGATGGAAGTCTCTTCTAAAGATGATGCACAAGAAAGCTGGCAAACAGTTTGTTGAAGACAAGCAGACTTAGGACATGGATTACTGGAACCATGTCCTGTGGTTTGACGAGACCAAGATCAACTTATTTTATTCAGATGTTGTCAAACGTGTGTGGCAGCAACCAGGTGAGGAGTACAAAGACAAGTGTGTCTTGCCTACAGTCAAGCATGGTGGTGGGAGTGTCATGGTCTGGGGCTGCATGAGTGCTGGCGGCACTGGGGAGCTACAGTTCATTGAGGGAACCATGAATGCCAACATGTACTGTGATATACTGAAGCAGAGCATGATCCCCTCTTTTCGGAGACTGGGCTGCAGGGCAGTATTCCAACATGATAATGACCCAAACACACCTCCAAGATGACCACTGTCTTGCTAAAGAAGCTGAGGGTAAAGGTGATGGACTGGCCAAGCATGTCTCCAGACCTAAACCCTATTCAGCATCTATGGGGCATCCTCAAAACGGAAGGTGGAGGAGTGCAAGGTCTCTAACATCCACCAGCTCTGTGATGTCCTCATGGAGGAGTGGAAGAGAACTCCAGTGGCAACCTGTGGAGCTCTGGTGAACTCCATGCCCAAGAGGGTGAAGGCAGTGCTGGAAAATAATGGTGACCACACAAAATATTGACACTTTGGACCCAATTTGGACATTTTCACTTAGGTGTGTACTCACTTTTGTTGCCAGAGGTTTAGACATTAATGGCTGTGTGTTATTCAGAGGAGGAGCCGCTGCAGGACAGAGATGACAGTTGTTCTTTAAAAATGATGATTTAAGTTGAGCCTTTTCACTAGTGATTTAAATCAACTTGATTTTAATCAAATCTACTCTGATATAAACCCTGTGTGGGTTTCCTCCGGGTACTCCGGTTTCCTCCCACCCTCCAAAGACATGCTGGTAGGTTAATTGGATCCTGTCTAAATTGGCCCTAGTACATGTATGTATGAATGTAAGTTAGGGACAGTAGATTGTACACACCTTGAGGGTTGAGGACTGATGTGAATGTACAATATATATATGTAAAGTGCTGCACAAATTGACGGCGCTATATAAGTACCTGTACTAAATAAATATATATATACATAAATACACACACAGTATACACACACAGTGTATGTGTAATCCCCTATTGATCCCCTATTGCCTGGGGGCCCCATGAGTTGTCAGTTTGCCCCCGGCTGACAACATATTGTATTTATGTGAACTAAGTGGTGTCAGTCCTGTCCAGTTTTCTTTTTACTAAACTACTCAGTCTTCTCACTGCCGTTATTGCCAAAGCATGGGCACTATTTGGTAGTCCCATAATAAGAACTGGGACTCTTTGAGCCAACAAAGGAAGCGTTTGTGGAGTTTTCCCTTAATTATCCTTTTAAGTAAATGGGTCTTTCACCTAACATTCACTGGTGGTGGAGCAATCACTGTCACTGAAAACATATGCATCAGGAAGATCCACTTGTAGTGAATGTTGAATGTCAGGTTCACTACTTCATTAAACATGCCCGTTAATGTTAGGAAATCTGTGCAAAGTACAGACAAATCCCCACTTAGGCAGCTGTCACCATTGGAATATTTGCCCTCAGCACCTAATCTGTGGCCATCTTTAAAATGTTGTAACTCACATTCGTTTATGTCTCTGTGACAGTGGTCATCAAGACAGAGAGGCAAATCTATATAGCAGGGACACAGAAAGCAATAAAACCTTGACAGAAATTCCAACTCTTCCCTATGTCTCTGTAGGGAAGCAGTAGTCTCTCAGCAGAGGTCCAACACACCTCCTGCTAAGTAAGAGCTAGAGCTCTCCAAGCAAAAGGAGCTTGAGCTTTACCAAATGGAGAGCTCTAAGTCTAACTCAGCAGGGGACTTGTTGGAGCTCTACAGGCAGATCACTGCATTCACACAGGTAGCAAAAGTCCTTCTCTACAGTATGCTGGCAAGACACAGGCTCTTCTACTCAGGCTGTGTCTGCTATTTAAAGAAAATAAACTGTATATATTTGCATTTGTTTTGATGCACCTCAAATGTGCTGAGTTTAATTTGGCTTTATACAAGGAACGGCTCTTGCAGAAGCACCCGAAGAGGGAGCTGTACTAAAGCTGGAGAGTGCAAAATCTAGTGCAGCTCTGCATAGAAACCAATCAGCTTTCAGGTTTTATTATCAAAGCTTAATTAAACAAGCTGAAGCTAGAAGCTGATTGGCTACCATACACAGCTGCAGCAGATTCTGTGAACCAGTTTTAGTAAATCCCCCCCTAAGGGTGGCTTAGGATACGTTCACACTTGCGTTGTGTGCAGGCGGCAGAGAGGCGTTTGGGAAGTGTTTTTACCGCTTCACAAACGCCTTTGCCAATTCTGCACATTACAGCACATGGTGCTGTTCTAACGGGAGTGTTTGTGTCGCGTCGTGGCAAAACGGACTCCTCTGGTCGAGTCAGGAGGCGTTGAAGCCTCCTATTCTAGTCTATGGTGCCGCTCCACAAACGCCCGGCCAGCGTTTGCGGGGCGTTTGCGGAGCAGTAACACCATTCAAACTGCATTATAGGCGTTTGTGGGGCGTTTTTAACGCTCGGCAAAGGCTTAGCAACCGCCGCTAAACCGCGCATGCAGCGTTTGCCGAGCGTTAAAAACCGCTCCGCAAACGCCGGACCAACGCTAGCCAACCGCTATAGGGGCGTTTGGCAAGCGTTGGTAAAACAGCCAAGTGTGAATGAGCCCTTATAGCTTTCAAGTAGATTTTATTTATGCCACTTCTGCCTTCATTACGCTTTCAGAAACATGTTTTGGGTGCATCTTGCTACATAAAAGAGAGTGCCAGGGAATTTATTTGTGTTGTGCTCTTGTTCTGGATTACCAATCATGTTCAGTTCTTACTGGCTATAAATCGATGAGCTGTATATCAGTATTTCTCTTTGCAGCTACAGATAAAAGTGTGTTTCAGTACTACCTGTGAGATGCCAAATTTTATTTTATTTTTTTTTTTTGTACCAGCAAATGGCAGTGTTCAGAAGATTCTCCTGCTCATTCAGAAACATTACATACAACATGACCGACATACCAGAGAAGGCCATAGGCTGGCTGGTTTTGATCAGAGCAACATCAAAGTCATTGGTTTCGGGGTTGTAGAGTCCATTGTAGTAGATGCTGCGGATGGAGACAGTTGTCGATGGGTTGAGAGATGTAAAGCCAACGTGAACCTTCCAACGACCCACAGTAAGGAAGTTGGACCTGCCATATGGAAAACAATCAGACCCAGAATGTAGAGTACTCAAAGCATAGGAATACAGCACAAGCACCAAGAAAAAAGGTAGAGACCAAAGTGCCCCAGGGGCTCTCAGTACAGCTTCTTCAGTGAACTCAAACAAGCCATGAATGGACCCAGTAAAGTGGTGATCAGATAGACATTTATTTGCTGGTAAATAATGGGAATAATTGTGCAGTATATATCAGTGTAAATTGGGACAGCAAACCAGGCTAGCTGGTTTTAATCAGAAAGTAATTGGTTTCTGGGTTGTAGAGACCATTGTAGTAGATGCTGCAGATGAAGACAGATGTTGTTGAGTTGGAAGAGTAAAGCCGGCCATAGATGGATTGAATCTTGCCTGGTTCACCAAGGACCAGCCGATATTCAATCCATCTATGGGCATGATAGTTGTACTCAAGTCAATCCATCCTTCGATGGATCAACCAGAATGTCAGATTTTTTACATATGATTGCTGCCAGTGGATATAGCCATTAGCATTAGTAGTCATTGTGTTCTGCTGGCAGGGAAGGCTCCCCGCTGGCAGGACACAATAATTCCACAGGAGAGATTCCCTCATCAACATTGAATGTGTTGATGGGGGAATTGAGCGATTTTCTTTCTTGCAACCCTTCTTCTTGGAATAATCTTGAAAAACACTGAAATTGACTTTAGGTGTCTTTTTTGTGAAAATAAATAATTTAAAATGAACAATTAGTCAAAGACAGGCTGAAAGCAAGGATTATAATAGCCTGATAATTGTGTCACAATACTGATGACCCTGAGAATAGAACTAAAGGCAAAACTCTTTTTTTTCATTTTGGATTGAATGAGGGAGGGTTATGAACCATGTAAGGTTTACTTTTGCCACCTGTGTCCCATTGGGGAGATTTTTCTTCATTTCCTGTCCCATAGCCAATAAAGGAAGTGAGAGAAAGTTCCTCTAAAGTGAGGAAATTCCTGGTTGTCACCAGAACTAGTGCCCCTGGTGGAAGATTTCCCTCTATTCCTGTTCTGGGGACAACCGAAAATATGGGATTTTCTTTCATATTCAGGTTTGGTAATAATGGTAAACAGGACAAATAGAGAGGGTGAATAACCTAACGGGGGCACAGATAGGAATATAAAACTTTAAACCTTAACTTTAGTTATACTTTAACCAAAGACCCAAGGGTTTTGCTTGCCCCTAGGTAAGTTACTCTATGGCCCTCAGGGACCCATTAGGCAATGTTTTCTCTTTCTACTGTAGACTCAAACCTCCCGATCAGCACTTGGATCTGCACAATATAAGGAGAAATATTTGTAAAGTTCCCTTGTGACTCTGAACACCTGTTGTCACAACATTTCAGTATGGAAATTAGTGTTAGTGATCTGGGCAGTGCCAAACTCACACTGCCACAACTGAAGCACCATACTATTGTACTTGCAGTATATCATCAGAACCAGAACTCAAGGAAAGTGTAGCGGTACCTCTGCAGGAGCCAGAATGTTCAAATAGGTCCCTAAGGGTCTTTCCCGTCTTCAGCCCCACAGCCAGGCACACGAGAACAGTCACTCTATGCCTCAGTAAGTCTAGGGGATGTTCTTTTTGGATTTTGAGTAATATGGATACGGATTAGGGAAGAGTGGGCTGCTCCAAAAAGCACTATGTACAACTGAGGACACTAACTTTCTTCTTCTGCAGCACTTTAAAGTGATTGTAAAGGCAGATTAAAAAAAAATAAAGATAAAAACAAACATATTTTACTTACCTGTTTTGTGCAAAATGCACATAGCAGCCCTGATCCTCCTATTCTCGGGTCCCCCACGATGCTCCTGGCCCCTCCCTCCTGCCAAGTGCCTCCACAACAAGAAGTTTGCTATGGAGGTACTTGAGCAGCTCGCACTTGAGCAGCTGCTCTATGTGTTCACACACGGGCTCAGCTCAGCCGCACCCCCCACTCTCTCCTCATTGGCTCACTGGATGTGATTAACAGTAGCGGAGCCAATGGTTCTCACCGTAGTCTCAGCCAACGAGAGACCCAGGAGAGCAAAAGCGCTAGTGCACATCGCTGGATCAAGATAGGGCTCAGGTAGGTACTGGGGGGGAGCGGCTGCACACATACGTTTTTTACCTTCATGCATAGAATGCACTGTAGGGGCCAGAAGGGACTTGGTTTAGTTGAAGCAGATGAAAAGCACAAACATGTTCCAATAAATTTTAGCACAGAACAAGGTGAACTAGGCTCTTCAGGATACCAGCCGGTACCCCCTTTCTTTCCTGTACTCTCAGCTGACTCTCAAGCACCAGAGGGGTGGCAGCAGCCCACAGACTCTAGGAACTCTCACACAGTCTGTACTCACAAGCCTGAATGGATGCATCTTTTCAATGTCTTCAAGTAGTCTCAGACCAGACCATCCCTGACACAGTCCTTGAGTCAGCTTCCAGGCTAGCTTGGCTGAGGCTTCATAAACAGCAAACGCAGGGCAGGGTTGCCTGGGAGGGCAGCATGCCCTCAAGGGTGGACTCCTCTTACCCAGGACAAGAGGAGATTGCTCTAAAGTTTCAGAATATTTATACCCTTACCCAGCAACCACTTGTGCTAGGGCCCACAATATTGGCTAACGCAGTATAAATATTCATGCTGCCTATTTACATTACTCAACACCTATGTTCCAGAATATTTTAGGTAACCCTGGAGATATAAAGTGAAGGTAATTAAATCAGCAGCCTGAGATTCATATGCCCCATACTGTATACACGATTAGAATATCATAATATCATCAATGCCGCTTTTAAATCGATCTTATATTATTCTGATCGTTAATACACAGCAATTGTCCAAAAAAAAAAAAACCAGAAGTGAAAAGCACAAAAATTGTTATTATACGATATATATATGGTGCGATTTGTATTTAATCAGTACAGTAATTGTCTGAAAATACAATATAAATACATTACATTCTTCAGAATTTTTATTCTGTCATAAAGAATTTTCATAAGTTTAGTAACATTGTCACTTTTGATATGAGACTAGAATGTAGAAAAAAAAATGGGCGATCATTCGTCCGATATTCTGATCCTGTGTACGGGGCTATAGGGCATAAACGAAACAATCATATGCAGTTGCTACAATGAGCTAGAGCTTAAGGCTAGGTTCACATATGTGCGGGTGGTGCCGCTGCGGATCTGTACAAAAATACATGCAGCCGCACCACCCGCACAGAGAAATGCAGACCCGCGGGCGGGTGCCATTAGTTTTAATGGCACGCCAATCGCACTGGAAAAACGCAACCGTACTGGGAACCGAGGTTCCTGTGCGGGCTGCGTTTTCAGAAGTGCAGGGACTTCTTCTCTGCGTGCCACGGAGCACGGGAGTTCATTCAAATGAATGGGCTCTCGTGCAGGGGCGGACTGACCATTTGGAAACTCGGGCACTGCCCGAGGGCCTGGGGTCAGTAGGGGGCCCCATAAGATGCCCCTGGTACCTTTTCCATAGGCTTTTTGAGTTTGGGCAAGGACACGGGGCCCCATGATCCCCTATTGCCTGGGGGCCCCATGAGTTGTCAGTCCGCCCCTGCTCACGTGTCCGCGCAAAACGCAGCCCGCATGGCTGCATATATGTGAACTCGGAGTAATTTGCCTAACCCAGAATTGCAGCCACACTGATTGCAGTCAGGTGAAATGAAATTTACCGAACAACAAAGATACTGCCTTGCTGATTACAATCTAAATCTATCTACTTCTGGGACCTAACTAGGAAGATGCTACACTAGGAAATTATTCATTCCTTTGGCATCTTTTAAATAAATGGTTTGAATTGAATTGTCATTTATACTCCTCCAACATTGTCTCTTGCTGGAAACAACTGCCAGGAAAAAAAAAAACAGCTCCGTCATATTTAATATGTATATCAAGATATTTGGAAGAGTACATTTTGGAACTGAACAATCCACATCCTTTGGCAAAAAAGCCAGTTGTATAAGAACGTAACAGAACACGTCATTATACTAGAACAATACCTATGATAAACCAGAAAGAAGTTCAAGGCCATGATTCACACCTACACCTCCTATGCGGATGCCTTCTTATAAACAATACTACTGAGGAATATTTTTACAACTCTAGTATTGCATATACAGCCAGACCACATAATAATAAACTGACTCACAGTACAAAGCAGTGAGCCGCGCTCATCACCCATTGCGATGAAATGATGGATCCTCCGCAAACATGGCGTCCGTCCCATCGCAGGCTGGCTACCCATGGCCAACGTCCCCAGGCTGACGGGGACCCTCCAACAATACGCTGACTCTCGGAAGCTGACCGCCCGCAATCTGCAACAAATGCAAAATAGGCAGAGCAAACGGCTTCAAACAGAACACTTATTCTTGGTGAATAAAAAAACACTTTTAGATTTTTCTTTTACTAACATATAGAACATGCAAGTGTATTAAGGGGAGATTTTTTTTTATACTATCTGCCTGGAGTTTAGCTTTGTGTTGCATTCTTCACCTTGAGTTCATAAACGCTGCTTTTACAGGCGGTTTAACTTTTTTTTTTAACCTCTGTGTCCGTGCTTATATAGGAGTTTTAAGAAGAAGTTTAGAGGCAGAAAAAAAAATTACTTGCACATCCAGGAGAGGAGCTATTGAGCATATAAAAATGCTCAAAAGTGCCTAAATTCACATAGACGGGATTAATGCTGGTTAGTCACGTTCTGGCCAATACAACGTATCGACGCCAGACACAGGAATGTGCATAAACATGCATGAACGCGCATAAATGCACATGCAAAAATGTGTTTTTGCTGCTGCTAAACTTGTGTAGGAGAAAGAAGCATCAATAGAATACCCACTTGTGGACCAACGACGTACTGATACATCGCTGAACTTCAAGTGGTTATACCACGGGCACCATCCTGTTATGGTTTTTTAAAGCTGACAGCCGGCTCTCTTGTAAAAGGAAACAGCGATCGCCTCACACATGCGAAGTATCACCACGAACATCAGATCATGGGCAGTAATACTAGCACCAGACCTCCTCTTTAAATCTAAAGTGGTAACCTGTAAATCAGGGGTGTTTAACTGCGGCCCTTCAGCTGTTGCAGAACTACAAATCCCATAAGGCATTGCAAGGCTGCCAATTACAAGCATGACTCCCAAAGGCAGAGACATGATGGGACTTGTAGTTCCTTCACAGCTGGAGGGCCGCAATTTCACACCCGTGCTGTAAAGGCTTTTAAAGTGTCACCTACGGATAGTAAAATTTACGTCGTTTGTCGCCATTGCACGGGTATGCACAATTTTATAGTGTAACATGTTTAGCATTTAGTTACTTGGTGTAACATCATCTATTATACCTTAGCACAAATTATATTGTGTTTTAGTGCATTAAAATTAAAAAAAGTTTATTTTTCCAAAAATAATGCAGTTGAGAAACCACTGCGCAAATACTGTGTAACATACAAAATTGCAACACCCACCGATTTATTCTGTAGAGCCCCTGCTTTAAAAAAAAATTATATATATACCAAAAAATACTGCAAAAAATACTGATTGTTACATCTAAACAAAAAGTGCCAGAAAAGGTTCGATCTTCAAGTGGATACAGTGGAAGGCTTACAATTGCATCGGTGTATCTGGCACCATCGTCTGACCATAAACTATATTGCAACCATTAAAAAAACCTTCCACTGTTAGCTCTCAGTTGCCTGTGGCAGTGATCATTGTCTTACCTGTGCACTGCAGTGATACACCCTCCTGAGCTGGGCATGATTCCCTGTAAAAAAAAACAAAAACAAAGGACACCAGATATGAAGACATAATCTGCTCTCAATTTCCATCTTCCCTCCACAGACAATAAGAACCCATCACATCCATTCTCTTGAGATAATACACCCCATTAGAGCAGCGACTGACCCTCCCCCCCCCCCCCCAAAAAAAAAAACGCGCACAGACCCCCATCACATCGCATCTTCCCTCTAGAAATGCAATAAGACCCCATCACAGCCATATCTATATATATATATCTGCATCAAATAAGTTAATGTGTCAATGATATGCTTTTATGAAAGCCCATCCCTAATTAAAGTATATGCTCCACCCACAGGGGGCACTCTTTACGCCTAGAGGAAAAGAAATGTAATCTTCAAACACGGAAAGGCTTCTTCACAGTAAGAGCTGTGAAACTGTGGAATAGACTCCTCAAGAGTTGGTTCTGGCCAGCTCAGTGGATTGCTTCAAAAAAAGTCCTGGATTCTTCCTTAGATACACAGAATATAACTGGATACAAACATTTATAGGTAAAGTTGATCCAGGAAATATCCGATTGCCTCTCGGGGGATCAGGAAGGAATTTTTTTCCCAGCAGGAGCAAATTGGATTATGATTTGCTGGGTTTTTTTGCCTTCCTCTGGATCAACTGTGGGTATAGGATTATAACTTTTTTTTTTTTCCTTTTAATATTTGAACTGGATGGACTTTTATCTTTTTTTCAGCCAGACTAACTATGTAACTACAGTGGATTTCTGGACACGGAAAAAAAAGGTGTCCCTAAAAACTTTTTTTAAATCTTGGCAACTATGCATTGTGCTCCAGGGCCAACTGCCGTTATTGGAGTAACCCTCACTTTCAGGACATTTTCTCTCACTTCCTGTCATGTATCTAAAAAAAAACCAAAAGGACAGAAGACAAATAAAAACCTGAAGGATGTTCATCCCTTCATCATTGTATTCAAAGCTAAAGAAATGTTGGCCAAAGGTTGAGAAAGACTGATCTAGTGAGTACAGCCATCTAGTGTTCATTTATTGTCACCTACACAGGGCTCAGGAATGTCTCGAGGTTACTGGGAGACCCATGGTTTTGTTCACCACAGCAAATGACTCTAGGCAGGCGGCATCTGTTGTGTTCAGTGACACCGGAGAAGACACTACTGTGTTGCTGTCACATGGAAAGAAAAAGGAGAGATGGTCAGAACAGAATTATCACTGCTATATGTATAGAGGAGGGGAAATCAGAGGTCTCCCATTGCAAACTGCAATTATAAGGCCTCATTCACACAGGGCGTACAATACTGTACACAAATGCAGGGCAATGTTTACCCATATGATGATGCACAGGTGTTCTCTGTATCCCTGTGCAGGCAGTCCCATTCATGTCAACTGGGTCCCAGCGGCTCTGAATATGACATCCGTGTGGATGCATGTCCCCAAACTCACACTGTCTACATTTGGGGACATGCACCTGCACTCACACGGATGTCAAATTGTGTCCATGCAACTGCTACGTCCTAATAGACATCAATGGGACTAGTTGCACCAGGATGCATGGAACACCTGTGCATCCCCACACAGGTAAACACGGCCCTGCATGGGCATACGGTATAGTTTGCCCCGTGCCAACAAGGCCTAAAACTATTCACCCAAGTTATACTGTAGAGTCATGCTTCTGTACTCTAGAATTGGTGGAACTCTAGCCAAACCTTTTTTTCTACTTTGTGAATAGAATGAAAAGGGGATAGAACACTGAATCTCAGGTTTTTTACTGCTGACTGACACCACTAGGGTGAGTTCTCTTCACTTCCTGTCCCTGAGACACAAAAGGAAATGAGAGAAAATCTCCCCCAGAGTTCTGCTCAACTCCTGTTTCGATGACAATGTTTACATGTCTCTGTAATAGCATACTCCAAGACTGGAAGTGAGAAGGAACCTCTCAAACAGGCACACGAACAGTCTTAAAACCCAGACAGGTTACTTTGCAGTACTAGAGTTTTGACTGGAGTTCCACCTTAAAGCCTGGGATACACCTGTGGATTTTTAGCGGCATAATCATGCTATTATTAGGAGGTAAGCTTTGCTGACTGTGGCACTGAAGTTGTGTAAGACTGCTGTACAAAGACCACAGTTCTCACACATTGGTGGTAATGTTTAATCTGCTTATATTCTGCCATCCCTGGTTCCCCCCTTCCCCGCAACATCAACATGTTAATAAAATGATTAAATAAAACCTTTCCATTTTCATTACATATCTTATTTTAGACGCCATGATCTCATCACTGGGCATCTGTGCTTCTGTATGAAATGCAGGCAGAACATGGCTGCTGGGAGGGGCAGGCAGGGTGCTTCCTGAAAACATCACAGCACCCTGCATCTGTACTCCTCTCAGGATCCCTCTGAGGCTCCTGCAGTTATACAAATATCAAAATGCCTTGATGGGTGGGTGTTGATCTGGAGAGGTGGACATTCTAGGTAGACTGCATTTGCCTGAAGACTATCCTAGGTAATGCCGACATAGGATGTTCAGCCTTTGTGATTAAATGAACTGAAATCCGATTAACCTCCCTAGCGGTCTGATTATTTCAGATTTTTGGTGCTGAAAGCGGTACCATTATTTTGCATGGAAATATGTAGTTTTTTTATTGTAGGCTGTAATATTTAGGAATAACTCACTGAAATCTGTCCGAACAAGCGTCTATTAAACATCCCGGGTATGATAAAATTTGAAACACAAAATCATAAATTATAATTTAATAAATAATCATAAAAAATAATAATATAATAATACATTTAATTCAATAATATAATCAAACCAAAAACACTGAAATTTGAAATAGAGCGCCAAGTTCACACATTGCTGAGCAAAGTCGCAAAATCGTTTTCAGTGTCTGATGACGAATTTCCTCACGAATCATTATCACTCAATTCTGCAAGTGGTTCTGATTTACTATCGCTGTTCTCTAGCTGATCTAAACCTGCTTTTGACCTAAAGGGACGCTTTTTGGACGCCATGGACTTTTCTCAGTTTCCAGGTAGAAAGAACAGCAGGGCACAGGACAAAGCACTAGTGACCAAATGTATGTGAAATGGGTTGAAACAGCAATGTTTTGCTATGTAAAATTTGTTTGGAAAAAAATTAAATTTTTTAATATTTTCAAATTTCTCGTCGCCGCCAGCGGCGCCCGTACATCCCAACGTCACAGGGACCGGAACACAGAAGCCGGATGCCGGCATCGGCCGGAGGAGATGGCCGGGGATGCATCGCGGGAGCGAAGGACAAGGTAAGCTCTGCAGGGACTCCCTATGCAGCGCCGCATGGTAAGCCTGAGTGTAGCTCGGGGTTACCGCTTTTGGCACTGACATTTTACCCCGAGCTACACTCGGGAATACCGCCAGGGAGGTTAATGAAAAGGACGGGCCTAGCACAGTAGGGTTGAGGAGGAAAGGGCTAGATCAAGGGTGTCAAACTCAATTTCATCACATGCCGCATCAGCATTAGGTTACCTTCAAAGGGCCGGTTGTATTTGTAAATCTATGTATGCAGAATTCAGGAGTACTGCTACATACAGAGTGCAGGGCTTTAGAGGTGCACTACATATAGAGTGCAGGGTTCAGGAGTA